ACATTCACAAATTTAGGATGTCATCACATTGTATTGTGTGTTTATTGTGGTACAATATTTGCATCATGTCACCCAACCGCAGCACTGCAGATTGTTCATCCAAATTCATTCGTGATGTAACTCCAGTACATTCAATGAAGACAATGAAGAGTTACAACAGAATTACATCAAGTATGTATTTGGTCCTTTGCACTACAAAAGGAAGAAAATTACCTATGACTTCTTGGTAGGAGGTAGAACTACTCTCCCAAATCCTTCATACTACTTTAACCACACCATCAATACAAACATACATTTTCATGTACGGATTTCATGAACTGTGTATGTTTTTCCGGCATTTAATGGCTGCCTTTAAGGGATCAATTCTGCCATTCTTACATTGAATCATACTTTACTGCACAAATAATTCCACTGGTTTCAACGGGACTGAGAAAGACCAATTTTTGGCTATTTAGATTAGATCCTCTAGTTCTCAGCATCACAACACTTCCTGGTGTGCAGAAGTTGCACTTAAAAACTTGTCAGTTGTGATTAATAAGTGGTTAATAACACTAACTCAGTATTTGCAATTTGCTCTAGATATTTGTATGAGGAACATAGAGAAGTAAAGGGAACATTGCTAATATTATGGTTATATTATCAGGTAATCTAAGGCAAAACAGAAAGTTTTAAAGAGTGACCACCCTAACAGTATCTAAAAATGGTATCCAGTAATTCTTTATCAATAGCAAGAATAGAAAGTTAAAAAAATATTCCAGATGTTTACAGTTGAAACTAATATTTACTAGTAAATCATCGCCTTAAAAGACTTTATATATATAAAACGGGACATGGGGCAGTTGGAAAGTCAGGCTTGTCTGAGCTTTTATGATGTGATGTAAACCATCAAGCCAGTGATGCACTCAGCACTTTGCTAGGGGATTTACAGAGAGATATGATGCTGTTGGTATCTGTATTGCAGTTTTGCTTGATTATTTCTGAAATATTAGATGCATTCAGCACTCTCACATGTGGTTTGAACCAAGTTAATGTAAAAAGAGACAACTCAAAAATAACACTTTGAAAGATAAATATCTCCTAATGTAGATTACATATAAAATCTTTCGAACAATTAACTATTCTTTTCTAACTTGTCTCTTTTTCTTTAATGTTTTGGATCAGATCAGCCAATAGGGCTTCACAAAGTTCTGATGAAACCACAAGCATTCATGCCATCCTCTCCTAGGCTTGGTCTACACACAGTTATTGTTCTGGTATAACTATTGTGGTTAGGAGTGTGATTTTTTACCCATATACTTATACCAGTACAGCTTCTAATGTGAACATAGTATGACAAAGTTCCTCCTCTACCTTGGTGGGTCTTGCGCTTATTGGCGGATTTGCTCACCTTGGAGCTTCACGGCAGCCCTCAGCTTGGCCATTTTTCTGAACCCACAGTCCAGGTATAGTTAAAGCAGTACGAACATTTGTGTGTAGACAAGCCCTTAGCTACACCAATGTAATTAGAAGGATTCCTTTGTATAGCTTTATTTACTATGTGTTCAGAGTCATTTATTATAGACTGAATTGGTAGCATTGCCTATTATTAAAGTTGCTGACATCCCATTATAAGACCCTGTTTCCAGTTATTTATAATCTTTGCCAAACTTCAAGTGTTTGGGCTAAAATTTTCCATGCTGGGTGTCTGCCTCAGGTTGAATATTTTGGGGGAATGGGGGAGGACAAAATTTAATCTAAAACAGTTCATCCATTTACAAGAATGAAACTAGGAAAAAATATGCTGTTTTGCTCATGTTAAAAAATTAAAGCAAGCTTTTGTGTGTAAAAAGCTCTAGCGTCCCCATGCTTTGGAGCAGGCACTTGAAATTTGGCAGGGGGTAGCCTTTGTGTCAGGGATGTTCATTTTGCCATCTCGATGAAAATCTGCCCAAGTTTGGCCAAGTTACATGCCTTTGAAAAAAATTGCAACTTGAACATGTTCAGAATTTTAACAGCTAAACTCCCAGAAGATTCCATCTGCACTGAGCATGCTCTGGGACTGAGCAGGACCTTCCCTAAAATTGAAATTATGGGCTGCTGTGGGTTGTGCGGGGTCTGGGCACCTGAGTGGAAAGAAGAGAGCCTAGTGCTCCTATGCTCTCAGTGACACTCCAGCCCCCTGGCTGGGCCCAGGCACCAGGGAGGAGGAAGCTGCTTTATTCAAATGCAAAGGTGACCTGAGGAGATATGAGCCAGACCTGTGGGAGGAGTAGATTATGACAAGTAACCTGGGAGGAGGGGGAGAAACTGGCGGGGGAGACTGGGAGCTAGGGAACGAAACTGGGACTAGCTGTGCAAGCAGACTGGAAGCTGGAGAGAAAAATGGAGTGGGGTGACTGCACTGAATGAGGGAGGGATCCTATCGAAAAATAATAGGTGATCATGTAATTAAAAACTGTATCATAATGTATACATGCAAGGGGTTGGAATAAAGATTGCATAGGGAATCTTAATTCTGGCATTTCCTAACTTTTGAGTACTTGACTTTGCAACCTTACCAAATATCTTTTCATTTCGCTCTTTTGAGGGTGCAACTGAATGAATCATAGAACATCAGGGTTGGAAGGGACCTCAGGAGGTCATCTAGTCCAACCCCCTGCTTAAAGCAGGACCAATCCCTGATTTTTGCCCCAGATCCCAAATGGCCCCCTCAAGGATTGAACTCACAACCCTGAGTTTAGCAGGCCAATGCTCAAACCACCGAGCTATCCTTCCCCACTTCTGAGATGTATTTGTATCTCAGCTTTTTGACTGGATAGTACTATAAAGACAACAGAGGGCCTATCTAACACTGGTTCAGCTCCATTGATGTTTGCACCAGCGGGAGCCCTAGTGTAAATGGGCTACCAACACTGGTTTTTTGAACACCATGTTTACTAAGTTTACTATCAGCAGGATTAGGTGACATGAGGATGAATAACAGCATTAGCAGCTAGTGGGCTCTCTACATTATGGCTCTCAACACTGCTAAAACCAGTTCACTTTATATAATCTTTGGAGGCCTATTAGTCCCATGGCAGCCTATTTTGGCTTTTAAGGGGCCTAATGAGTCTGTTTTCATTTTTGTGGTCACTTTACCATTAACTCTGACTTTCTTATATTTCTCACTTTTTTGTTTGTTAAACACAACTTCACTGCCATGTGCCTACAAACTTAACTACACCGTAACTCAGCTTTTTAAATGGGTTTGTATTAGGATTATTTTCTAGCAGTGATTCAGTACTTCACAGGTTGGTCAAAGCAACAGGCAGTGGAGAATGTGCCATTCCCCAACAAAAGAAACAATATCATCAAGAAGAGCACACTAGCACGATTCTTAATTAGAGCAATCAGAATCAAAGATCACAAATATTTTATTTATTTATTAGCTTTTCTATGGTGCTCATGAATGCAGTATGTGATTGCCTAGCAAACATGAATCAACTAAGCACCAAAACAAAGTCAAATCAAAAGGGTTCCTGGCAGATAGAGATACAAAAACATATGGCACTTGTTACTGATGACAGATGTTCTTTTATATTTGATATTTGGTAATAAAGTGATACATTTATTCCTTTAGATGTTAAATTCAGTGGGTGACTTTCTGCACTTGATAAATTTCTGGTTCTTATTTTCATTTAACCAAAAATGACTGGAACTTTTAGTAATTTGTGAAATGGTCTTTTGAGTAAATGACATATAGTTTCAGTCATGTCATTATCTACTGGTCGGTCAAAATGACTGCAATATATACATGAAACTGAATTTGAAGGTTATGTAATTTGTATCGTATTTGTGGATAAACAACCTTCCTGTCCACAACTCCTTACAAAATCAAACTTCCAATATTCTTGGCTTCTTCTTTCCTTCAGAAGTATGAAATTGATTACACACCACTCTGAAGAAATAATTGCATTTATTTAAATTGCATGGCATGAAGGGAAAGAATATTGCTATGTTCTTAGAGTTTGGAGCATAAAGGATAGTCAGACTGGCTCTGTTTCTGCACTACACTGTAATCTCCTTTAAACAAACCTGAATATTTCATTAAAAAGGTTCATAACTTTTAAAGGTTGAAGCACATTTTATTAAAATTGGCATGGAACAATGTATGCTAACCACAAGTCAACTGGAACAGAGCAACAACAAAAAATATCAACTGACTCGCAGTCATCTCACTATGAGTGTCATTTGCTTTATTTCAGTAGTAAATACAAATATTTTTAAAAAGCAAAAAAAGAAAAAAAAAGGGAACACTAGCATTTTAGAAACAGTAAATTTACCAGTACTCTTGGCAAAATTTAGCTAACATCACTGAATAGTTTGTAAACCAGCAGGATTAAGGCCAGTTTATATTGGTTCACTGCTACAAATAGAAGTAAACTTGTTTAAATCGAGAAAAAAACTTTAGGGTCAAAATCTGATCTGCATTAAAATGGTACAAATCCAGAGTAATGGCATTATTCTAGATTTACCTCATCTGGGACCTTATTCCATATCTTGTTTTGAGGGGAGATAATTTATCCAGTCAAAAGCAATAGGGCACCCACTCTGTTTGACTATATAATACTGGACGATAGCAGATGTTGTGTCACATCATGCTGAAGTGGTAGGGTAGGAAGGCTAGTTGAATAGGTAGGGCACTGGGCCGAGACTCAGGAGACCAGAGTGCAATTCCTGGCTCAAACACAGTCCTCCTCTAGAATAACCTTGCACTAGTCTCTTGATCAACCCTGTGCCTCAGTTCCCCATCTGTAAATTGGGTAAATTTACCGCACAGGGGTGTTGAGGATAAAATCTAGTAATGATGGTAAGATGCTCAGATATATGATTATGAGGACGCTACAAATACTCAGATAAGATAAGGAAAAAGATACCTAAGGACTTTCTTTGGCATTTTGTGACTTACTAATAATATAACAAGGAAGTGATTTAAAAGGTTCATATATATGTTTTCAGTTAATTTATTCTCCTTAACTTACTTTTCTGGTTTTAGATCCCTGTAAATAATTCCAAGACTATGGAGGTGGTCTAAAGCCAAGGCCAGCTCAGCTAAGTAGAACTTGACATCCTCTTCGGTAAACATTACCTAGTCAGAAAGAAAAGAAGAACAAGTCTAATCACTGTTATGATAACAGATTGACTTGAATTCTCTAACTCAGGATTGCAAGAAAGACCATCATATCAGATTCAATTTGTCAGTACTCACATTAACCCTCCTCATCAGGTTTTCCTGGTTATAAGACAAAATTCTGTTCATTCAGCTACATTTTCCTCTCCCTTAAATCATGCTGCTTTCATTCTTGTTTTTGGTCAGTTCAGCTGACATTACATACTACTATAAATCCGGGCTGAGCCCAGAAGTGAAAGTAAGCTGGTACTCCCTGGTACGGCGTGGATCGGCTTCCCCAGGCGCAATTTAAAGGGCCTGCGGCTCCTGGCAGTGGCTGGAGCTCCCGGCCCTTTAAATTGCTGCCAGAGTCCTGTGGTAGCAGCGGTGGGGCTGGGGCAGCAATTTAAAGGGCCCTGGGCGGTAGCGGTGGCCGAGCCCTGGGCCCTTTAAATCGTCCCTGGAGCCCCGCTGCTGCTTCCCCAGGGCTCCGGCAGGCTCCGAGGATGATTTAAAGGGCCCGGGGCAGTAGTGGCGGTCGGAGCCCCGTCCCCGGAGCCCTGCTGCCGGAGCCCTGGGGAAGCGGTGGCGGGGCTCTGGGGATAATTTAAAGGGCCCAGGGCTCCGGCTGCCGCTACCGCCCGGGGCCCTTTAAACCGCTGCCAGAGCCCCCGGCTGCTGCTGTTATCCCGGGGAGGGGGAAGGAGGCACTTGCTGGTACAGGATGGGCCAGGGCTGGCTCTGACCTCCCCCAGCCCCACCCCTTCTGCCTGAGGCCCCGCTGCTTCCGGGGGCCAGAGCCGGCCCCAGCCCAGCCCCGTACCGGTAAGTCACTAGACTTACTTTCACCCCTGGCTGAGCCATAGTCTATTGACGTCAATGGCAAAAAGTCAACAGTGCACAGCCAGGCCCTTAGTACCGGCATATATCCTAGTTTACTAAAATGTTGGCATGTGGTTCCCAAATTCCCACAAGCTCAGATATGGACCTATTTTGTCTAAAAGTGAACTGAAATGCTTTGTGTTTTATAAAATGACTTATATTTAGTTCCAAAATATTAACAGAATATGCAGCATGTGTAGACTTAGGGCCCAATCACAAAAACACCCCACTGAAGTCAATAGGAGTTTTTCCACTGACTTCAGTGGGTTTGGGCTCTTAGTTATGACAAGCTCCTCTTTTATTTACCTGCTGAGACATACGTTTGCTATCAGACCTCACCCTGGTGACATGAGACACAGAACACAGTGAAAGGCCCAGGCACAGGCAAAACACCTACAGGACCAGATGTGGCTCCCCCGCTAGTCTAGCCTGGGGCGACAGCAAACCCCTGGGAAGCCTGACTGCTAAGGTATGGCAACTGCAGGTACTGGCTGTGAGGCAGAACTCAGGGAGCTGAGCAGCAGCTGCAGTTTACCCAGCTGGCTGCTTCTGAAGCATCACTTGGGGAGGTAGGATAATGCTGTCTTCTAGAGACATTCCTGGCAGCCAGCCAGGAGTTGTCTTCCTCCTGGTGGTGGTGGCTCAAGTCCTGGTCACGGTCAGACTTGTTCCTTTGGAGGCTGCAGCAGCTCTCACCACATCTCTAGGAGGGCGGGGAGCGGAGAGGAATATGTGGGAACCTGTGAGGAAGGAAGGGAATGGAGACAAGGAGAGATGCCCTTTCCAGGAGCAAGGAAGCAGGGAGAGGAGCCGGTACACAGCTGAGACAGGTGAGAGAAGAACTGCTAGCACCAAAGGAAGGTGGTGTCTCTTGGTCTACTCAGACTTCCACCAGCTGCTGCAGGGGACAGTACTATCCACATTCTGTAGTACTATCACATCTCTTGTTGCCCGGTTAGCTTGCACAGTTGCCACACCCTGTGCCTTGGGTTCTGTCTCACAGCTGTGCCAATCCCCACCTCCAGTGCTAGCTGTTGCTTCTCTCCAGCAGCCAGACCCAGCATGCTACCATGTGCCCCAGGTTAAACTCCTTGGGATTTGTAATGCCACTGGCAATAGTCCCTGCGGTCAGAGACTTGTAATCTCCAATGAGCTCAGCCAATGATGTCACTGGAATAACATCCTCTGCCACTGTCTCTACCAGATGCTAGGTAGAACCAAATTCGATCTAGAATTTAAAATAGTATAATATGTTTTAAAAAAACCCATTTGCTGTCATTGCTCTATGTGAATTTAAAAAGCCAATTTTCAGGCGAGAGCAATGCTTTAAGAATTTGGCTTGCATTATTCACATGCACCTTCTCTCTCTCTCTCTCCCCCCCTGCATTTGCACCCTCAACTTTGTCGTACCAGCTGTTTTTTTTTACATTGTCTCACCGTGACTGGTGCAAGACCCTTCTCCCTGGCAGCCCCTGCCCCCATCGGCAGCTGTCCTGTGTCGGTCCTCCTCATTGACTCTCCCCCTCTTTTCAAATTTAATCTGAAAACAATTATTTCCTCATTTCTCTCTCATTCTCCCTGTCAGTTTTCTCCCCTCTGCTATTTTTTATTATGTAACTATATATCTATGGGGATTTAACTCTGGGAAGCAGTGTGGGATAAGGACTGTATGAAATGTTCTATTCAGACTAAAAGGTGCTGTATTATGAATAATGTATGTTTAACAAAAATAAAAAGTAACACAGGGAGAGAGAGTGAGAAGCCTGGATCACTCTTCTTTAAATTAAAGGAAAGATCATTGGAACTGAAGGATTAGTCACCATCTCTGGCCAGGGTTGGGGTAATGTAATTACTGGGACAAAAGGGCAGAGACAAAGTAGCATGGCTAACCTAGCATGACAAGGTGTCCTTGATCTTTCAGTGACCTCGTGAGGGGCCCTCACAACCTTGCTGCTTCCTGCCCAAGCAAGGCTTCTAGGAAAAGACCTTGCAGAGCCACTTAACAACCTTGGGTGAAATCTTGCCCCAGTGAAGTCAATGGTAGTTTTGCCATTGACTACATTTGGGCCAGGATTTCACCCTTTGTGTTTTTGTGCTAATTCCAAAGGGTTCAGAGTCAGCTCAGGGAGACTCTCCGATCTGGGAGCTAATCAGGGATAGATGAACTCAGTTACAGTAAGGCGGGACTAGGTTATTCCCATGAAAGAGAGAGACAGGAATTTTACTCACCAGAAGCCATGGCAGGGAACTCTGGGGGACCATAATGGCCACCCTGCTGGCCTGTTTGTTTTGAATGTTGGCCTTTACTTGAAGGAGTGCAGAGAGAGACTTCTGCAAAGTGTAAAATATCTGGTGAAGTAAACTGGAAAACCTGGAAGGGATTTTGGAATTTCAACCTGAGCTGCCTGTGAACTCTCTAGCCACCCAGAACCTGACCCTGCTACATGTGGTCACTGGAGCATAGGCTTCATAGAGTGGGGAATCTGGGTATATCTTTTCTCTCCAGATCACAGCCAGCAAGTGTCTCGTTTTAGCAATGAGTCCGGGGTTATTCTACCATGAGAAGGAACTAGCAATGATCTAACTGTTGGGAGTAAACTGTAATTACGTTTTCTATTAACACGATGCTCACGCTCTGTCAGGTATGTCACTTATCACACAATGTAGATACAAGTATTAAAAAAGGTTTAGGGAAATTATAGCAAATTACAGCTCCAATTCAGTTACATAGAATGAAAATACACCCAGGGACACACACAAATTCTGAAAATAATCCTAGACGTTATTTTGTGTTCTACCACACACAAAATCAATGGGCTTACCTCTTTGGAGAGTCTTGTGAAAAGGTCCCCTCCCCGTAGGAAATCTAGTATTAGATACAACTTTCCCTCTGTTTGAAATGCTGCATTAGAAAAGAATGGAGATGTTGGATGTTTTAAATCATTACAATGTCTCCAAAGAATGAATATTATTGATTAATTCTGCATTGTTCGCTAACTCTCCTACCATGTTAACACTTCACTTTTAGAACGGAATTATTTAAGACCTCTGCTGGACTAAGCAGTCTAGACCATACTACAGGGAACAATCCTGTGTTAGCTGGGAGATGGAGATTTATTACTAATGAATTCTTTGCCATGCTTAGCACCTGGTCCCAGAGCTTGGGCTCCAGTCTGACCCTGAATGCCTACCCAGCAATTTTAGAACCCCGCAGCCTGAGCCCCACATGTCTAAGTCAGCTGATCTGTGCAGGCCTTTAATTACTGTGTAGATATACCTAATGAAGCTAAGGCTGCCTTCTATTGCACATTGCACAGGGTGGAAAGAGGGAAAGAGAGTAAAACTAGTCAGTGAGGCTCCCAGAATTGTGGAAGGAGAGAGCTACAGCTGTTCAAAATGCTCACAGAAGCCCCTTTGCACTAGCAATAGGGCTCTTCAAGAATTCAGGGAGCTTGCTGGGCTAAGACAGACAAATCTAGGGGGAAGCTGCGCTGTGTAACTGAAAGCATTGCAATAGTTCATCAGCATTGCAATAGTTACTCCTGGGGGAATTCTGTGCCAAAAAATTAAAAATTCTGCAAATTTTATTTGTCAAAATAATACAACATAATCATGCCAGTTTCAATTATTTTGGTAATTTATTTCAAAATACCTGTTGTCAAGTATGTGTGTAACAATACAGACACACACAAAAATTCCCCCAGGAGTAGAGTTAAAGAAACCCCTGTAACAACCCAGGTCCTGTTTCTCTGCTCCCTTCCCCCCTAGAGCCCAGCCAGGGGGCTAGATGCCCACAACCCCTCCCCCGTGAGTCCAGCCATGGTGCCCTCCTGACAGTACACCTAAACCCCTCCCACCAAGAGCACAGACATGGTCCCCCCAGCCCAGATACCACCCCCCAAGAGCCCAGCTGCAGGCCTTCTCCCCCCAGATACCCGCACCCTCTCCCACCCCGAGACGAGCCATTGGGCCCCCTTTTGCCCAGATACCCACACCCCCTTGCCTCAGAGCCCAGCTGCAAGACCCCCACCCTTGCCCAGATATCCACACACCCTCCCCACAGAGCCCAGCTGCAGGGCCTCCCCCTTGCCTAGATACCCGCACCCTCTCCCCCGAGACCAGACACCTGGTCCCCTCCCCCCCAAAGCCCAGGGATCCAGAGGGAGAAACAGCCTGATGCTCAGTCCCAGGCTTGCACCTTTTCCTTCCATCAGGGTGTGTGGGGAACTGCAGCTGCCAGGAACCCTCTAGCTCTGCCCACTCCCCATGGCAGTGTTTTCTATGTGCGAGCTAGGCTCTGCTGGGTCCATCAGTACTTAGTGGCGGCCAGCAGCACTGCAGCCCATTTCTGTGGGGGAAAGGAAATTCTGTGCGGATGTTAATTTCTGCAACATTCTGCATTGCGCAGTGGCACAGAATTCCCCCAGGAGTAAATAGTTTATAGAAATTTAGTGAGTGCTATCAATTATTAATAGTTTTTGGAAACAAGAGAATCTAATAATCAAACTGTTTGCTGAAGAGGGGTGATAGAACTGGCCTATACATCTTTGTTATCCCACCAACACCCCCCTAGTAACACCTTCATTACATTACACCTTGTATCAAATTTGTTTTGACAGAGGCGTAGCAAAGCCCTCCTCCTCATGCTGAAGTTTTCCTGTGATATAAGGAAAATGAAGTCCATAACTGAGTGGAAATGGGGTAGTATTTAGCAAAGTGGCATTCTTATGAAATGACACAGATCCAATTACAATCCCAAAACACATGTACGAGTGAATCCGAATTCCATTTTATTATAGTTACCATAATGAAGCTTGACTATGAAAGGATGATTCACTTCTGCCAAAATATCTCTCTCCATTTTCGATCGCACCCGATCCCGAACTATAAGAGAGAGAACAATAAGAACAGCAATCAGTTAAGAGGCAGCATGGTGCACTGGAGAGAGCATTGAACTGGGACTCGGGAGATTTTGATTCTAGTCCTGACTCTGCCACTAGCCTGCTGTGGGACCTGGGCAAGTCACTTCACCTTCCCTACCTCTCTCCCTGCCCTTACCGCCTGTCTAGTTTCTGTAGATAGTAAGCTCCTGTAGATAGTAAGAGACTGTCTCTTTCTCTGCATTTGAACAATGACGTACTAATCTTGGCTGAGCTGTGAGGCACTAAGGCAATATACACAATAGGAAGATTAAGGTTTACAAAAAAGAATTTTAATATAAAATAAAGCTATATAAACTCAATATCTAATTTAAAAATAAATAGAATATAACAGCAACTGACCATGGCAAGTTAATCAAGAGACTATGGTAGGTTAATCTTGCGTGCATTTAAGCATACTTGTGCTGTGCTGATATTAGCAATAAGGATGACTCATTGAATACCTGGATGTGGTTTAGATTAAATATTTTGAGCTCCCAATCAGATACAATTAGTAAAAAGGAAAAGTCTGTGGCTGAGGCAAAAGAGACAAATATTATTTTCATCTGCAGAGACAATTACTGCAGGGCAGAAGCAAGTGTAATGATTTTTTTATGGATCAGATGAATGAAGAATAAGAGAAAAAATAATTACAGATGTGAATAGGGTTCAGGCTAATCAAGACTGAAACCAAAGTTCACCTAGTAACGGATTTTAATAGAATTTCACAAAACCAAGCTGGGTTCCACGTTTCAGATTAACATCCCTTGATCCTAAAGATGTATTTTATTCTTGATCACGGTTTTACTGATTTTCTAATAAAGTTGTTTAGGTTTATTGTTTCTTCTCCTTGTACCACATTATTTATTCATCTCTCAGCTGCAGCACCCACCCACTGGGTTATGAGTCTATTTTAGTCAATAATGCATGAGACCTCACTGCGGTTCTGTTGTCACATGTACGTGTGTTGGGTGTATTGATAAATGGGAGGTCAAAAGCTGAGTGCCTCCAACACCCAAGTAATGAATATATTACAGTGCAATGACACATTCTTCTGTACAACTGTGCTTTTAAAATTGTTGGTTTATAGACACTGGTCCAAACCAAAATTTCAGATATGAAAACCCTTGAATGTTGGAAAAATGTGGGTCTCTAGCTATTTTAATGTTTTATTTAAGACAGGACCCATATAAGCATGATTTTGTAATCCTCAGCCATTCACATTGCTTCCTCAATTCAAGCCATTTTGCAGTAAAAGCCAACCACACCAAGACCCAAATTCCATACCATGTGCAAAGATGGCATATCATATAGTCATGCAGTGCAAAGCTAGGCAGGGGCATACATTTCTCATGTTGCACATGCAATACACCACAAGTCACGTACCCAGTGTAGGAATGCTTGGGGTAGAGACTGCTACACCCTTCTGCATAAAATATTTACTATTTCAATCAAATGGATATACTGTGAGGAGTGCTTCCTGAAGTCTAGCTATGCCAAATGCAGGCAACCTCCCAAAACATTCACGTAAGCCATGCATCAGCCCCGAGGCACAACACCACCCAAGTGACAGGGTAGAGAGGTAGAAGTGGGCAGAAGCAGAAGTGGTTTGTTACCCACCATGGGTAACAGTATAAATCAGCTGTAAAGCTCTCGCGCCATCATAGACAAAGAAAGGTCACCCAGCTATGCTCACCACACCAACCATACCCCTATACTGCTTGGTGCTTGACAGTAGTGCTGCGCTGACATTTTTTTACATCACATTATAAAAAGCTTTGGTTTTAAGTTATTTTAGACATTAGTTTGAGGGCATTCGAATGTAGCCGCAGAGGTGATATTTGTGATGTGTGTTCATGTGCATCACATCTGCGTGGCTATAGCCACGAACAATGGCAGGACTCCCTCACCCCATTGGGTATTTCTCCTGACACCTTGTTAGGGTGTTGTGGTTTTAGGTGAGCGCCTGTTGTGCTGGTGAGAACACGGAGGGAGGTGCTGTATCAGGATAGTGCTATATGAGGAATGGGATATTACAATAGGATGGTGGCACTAAGTAGTGGTGGTGGTGGGGATACTGTTTGCGAGTGAAGAGGCAATTGAAATGGGTCTGAGGAGCAACATGTATAAGGGATTTCAGCATCACAGTCATCTGCCCCTTGACCACAGTTCTTAGTAGTCAGTATTTCTGGGGACTGCGGATCTGTAATCCTTTTTAGTCTTCATAAGAAAACGTCTGTTCTGAAAACGAATTTCGGGCTTTGGCAGGCAACACTGGACGTAACCCGGTTACATGTTGCGTGATTATCTCTGTGCCACATTTAACAGTCCCCACTGGGCCTATCTGGCCCAGCTAATTATATCTAATTCACCAAGGTGGTGGTTACACATTTTGGGACTTCATTAGCCTGTCATGATGGTATGCCCTCTGCCTCCCCACATGGAGACAGAAGCTGTAGCATGCCCATGTGATATTGAGGAGAGTGTTATGTCTCCATATAACATGCACCACAGCTTCTCTGATGTCTTGGCCTGATGACCCCTTTTTACATATCCTTCTAACCTCCCATTCCCTATCCAGGGGCAACTAAAAAGACTGTTGTGGCACACAGGTACTTCAGTGGTTACAGAGTGACCGATAGGTGGGTGATATGCTCTCTCTGCTCCTGTGCATTACATATTTCCTGGCATGGGTGCCCTTAGGACAGCAATTATGTGGGTCCACTTCTGGCATCCTGATGTCATAGCATCTGTCATTTAGTCCATTGCTCAGATGCCTTCTCACGTTCTATGGCAAAGCAGATCCATCTCTATTCTCCTCCTCCTGTATCACCTCTCTGTTGCTTCAGTGCCTCTGGGCTGTGCATGCTTTTAAATTTATGTTTCCTTCTATGGATTAACATTCTTCAGGGTGGAGACAGCTGATGGTTTGCTGTTCCATTTTGAATATCTGTAAGGCCCTATCACCATAGTATTTATATGCCATACAAGGCTATGGGCAGCATAAATCAAGAGACACTCCCTCTCTCCTCCAGCCCGCACCCTAGGCAGGTTTTCTGGTTGTGGGGGGAAGATCAGGTTTTCTCTCTCTCTCATCCCGGCATTTGCCATATGCTCAAGCTCTTCCTGCTCCATTTTTGATGTAGGTGGGAGCTGGTGTTGATGTGGAAAGGCCCTCCTGAAGAGGGTCAAGCTTTGACTTAGTTTGAGCTCCTCTAACAAAATCTTCCCCAGGTGGGGCCCTATATATGAAAATGCTCTGCTCACTGCATTCTACAATTTTGTGCTTGTGTCCAGGACTGGCCTCAAAACTTTTAGTGCCTGCATCGTAACATGTAGGGAGCCAGCATAAATCGGTGACATTTATTGATTGTCTGTGAGTCAACTCTGGCTCAGTCATTCCAGATTGCTGGGTCACTCCAGGATTATTCTCCAGATCCTATAGGGAGAGATTAGTAGGGTCTGACTATGTGGCTGGATGCGAGGGATGAAGATGCCTGGCCCAGTGAACCAAAAAAGCACTGATGTGTGTATTTGGAACAATTATGGATACCTCCTATTGTCTACGTCGTTACATGGGGGTGCGTAACTTTGTACTTTCCTTTGCTGGATCAGCTGGCATAGGAGACAACTTGCATCATCCTAAATTCAGTCAAACTTGTTTATGAGGAGGACCTATTCATATGGATTGCATTACTCTGTCATCCCAGAAGGCTTAGCTTCCCGTGCTGTGGTTCACTTCAGTGTTGTCCCCTCACTTGGCTATATCGAAGGGTCTGCTGCTGAACAAACATTTACTCCAGGCTTTTGAGAGGGCTATGCTGTCTAGGCTGCACAATTCCTCCCCCTCTTTTGGTACTGGCAGGGGATTGTTCAGCTGTCCAAACCCTATCTCAAGCGCCTAACAGCCCCTTTTGGGATTTGTATCTTCTATAGAGGTTTAAGTGCAGTGTACAGGAAGCAGGAATGTGTAGTGTTTTGGCAGGCGATATGCATACTAACAGATGTTGTTTACTTATCTGCATAAACAGTTTATTCACTGGAAATGGTGCCCAGTTGCTGAACTCTTAGTGACAGGAAAGCTTTTGTCCTGTATATCCAGAATTGGATTTTGCCTCTCAACTTTAAGCTACATACCAGAGATGGAGAGAGTACAACCTAGAGCTGGGCTTCCCAAACTACGGTAGGCAATCTTGGTGTTCCGTCAGTTCACTTCACAACAAGTTTTTAACATGGTGCCATGTGAACCAAGAAAGTGTGGAAACTGCTGGCCCAAAGGAATAGGTATAGGGCTGAGATTCAGGAAGTCTTGAATGCTAATCCTGGCTGTGCCACTGACTCACTTGTCCAACCTAGGATAAATAAATTATCTATAAATTACTTCTGTGAGCCTTGGGGGATGTGAAACAGAAGTGACTACACTGTCACATCCTACAACAATAGAGAAAGTGTATGCCAGCTTGCAATAAAAGTGATCCACATTTGAATGAGTCCATTTAATATGACAGGGTTGGGACGGGAGGAGAAACTTTTTTTTTCTTCTTAAAAGTGGATTTTTAGCTAGACGGTTGGTGTAGTTTTCCTAGCCACAAGGGACTGAAGTGAAAGAGAAGAGAAAGAAGATTAATACAAAGTGTATTGCACTGGTAAAAAGAAGTTCCAACTCTAGAGACGATCAGTTGCGTTTTTTCCCCCCTAAGAAAATTAAACCAAAAATACCCATCCCTTCTTGCTGAATGATTTGCTGACATCAAATCCGGTCAAGAGTTAAAGAAGAAAAAATATTAAATTTTCAACAGATGTGCCTTAGGCTAAAGGCATGCCATAGCTAGCGAAGTCACATCGCTAACTATGGACTCTGTCAAATCAGAAGGGCCTTCCTTAATGTAGAAGCCACAGAATGTCTACCAATTCAGCAGGAAGCTGGGCTAACTCAATGGGAACCTTTAATTAAGCAAATTGGGG